GGTGTGTGGGTGTGTGGGTGTGTGCATGTGTGTATGTGTGTATGTGTGTATGTATGTATGTATGTATGTATGTATGTATGTATGTATGTATGTGTGTGTGTGTGAGACTGACTTCTGTCTGGTGCATGGATGGCTTGCTTGAGGGCGAGTAGAAGGCAGTTGTCTGGACTGACCTGGAAGATCTCCTTCATTATTTCCAAACTCTGCGGAGGACCGAGTGCTGCCAAAATGTTTGTTCCTCACTTCTGGATTCATTCTTGCAGGTATCACGAGGAAACGCTGCAACTCCTGTTGCTACCAGACACTCACTATCAGACACATGTCATGTACGACCCTGGCTGCACCTTGGCCACCGAACCGACGAAGGAGGACCGGGCCACAGATGTGAGGCGCGGGGCATTGCCGTCTCCGACGTGCCTCGCTCATGCACGCATGCACTAGAGTCTGATTTAAATCAACAAACCCCAGCGCATCGCCAGAGTTCTGGCAATTTGCGCCTCCATTGAAATCCCAAGTCAGGTTGACCCTCGGGCAGCTTCACATCCTTTCTGACCTTCGCAAAAGAAACGCTAGCTGCACAAGCAGTACTGCAACAGAACCGAAGGCGCTTTAAGCACTCCGGCCTTTGCAACGAGGCTCTTCCCCTGCCACATCCGTCCTCTGCCTGCTTGCACGGCAACGGACATGATGGTGGCAAGGCGCGGAAAGGCGAATCATGGCATTGGCCTCCACAGCCTCCGCCTCCAGCCCATCTTCCACCTCCCTTCCCACCGTTCCAGCCTTGGAAGCTCCGAGAATCTGCAACCGCTGGCTCTCCGCCGTGGGTTCTTCAAACAGTTGCTGCCGCGTGCAGTAAAGAGGGTGGAGGGAGAATTGATTTGGTATAAGACGGATGTCAAGGAGATGGTCGCGGATGGAATGAAGGGAAGGGAGACAGGAGAAGAGATAAAATTGACGACAACGACGACGACGACTACTACTACTACTACTTCCTGCCTCTCTTTTAGATGACGGGAGACGAGAGGCATCGCAGGTACGATCGCTGACGGAAGTATGCTTGCTTGCGACAGATACACACGCATGCAATCACGCCTCCCCGTCCTCGACCGTGACCGGGCCACCACTCCTGTCACACCGCTCTAATCTTTGGGATCTCCTGTCCCACCACAGATTGCAGGCAGACTTAAACCATGGCAATGAACACCCTTGAGCAACTGCTTCGGAAGCTCACACGGCACCAGCCTGCTGTTGTTGGCCTAGCAGGGCTCTCTCTTACAAGATCCTGCACTTTCACACAACTTCCTAAGTCTAGAACAAGTGCGCGGAGCCTGCGAGTTCCGGACCTGGAGTCGGAGGAGCGGCCTGCGGGTTCAGCTGAAAAAGGTTCAGGTGAAGCCTTAGTGGTAGCCTCGGCCTGTACATGCAACACACGCCTTCGCAACACGCTATACACATGGCGACCCACGCCTTTTGTTTACCCGCTTGGCTTTGCCAGGGAGCTAAGTCTGTACATTATCGGGTGGGCACAGCCCCGTGGCCATGTTCGTTGAACAAGGCAAGTATCTACGAAGGTCAGACATTGCACCAGGCTAGCAGATGCGAGCTCGGCGTAGGCCCAGTATGGGCTTCAGGGTTTGGATGACAGCTGCCGCACGAATCACAAGGCCAAGGCATGCACTGCAACAAACGTAGACATAGGGGAGCCGTGACTAATCCAAAGTACCGGTCTCTGCCCCATGACTCGTAAGGCACCACTCAATGGAACCGAGACTCTCGTCTCAGAAACACAGCGAAAGAGACTGTTGACTCGTTGGTGCTGTGACAGACTCCGCTGGCCAAAGACCTTGCCCAGGCACGATGCGTCCAACGCACGGTTCTAGCTCACTTTCTTATTCATAGTTCCCGTCAGTTGAAGCTTCTAGCGACTTTCCAGATAAAGTCGTCGCTACTGACCTACTTCGCATTCTGAAACACTGAAAGACCGGTGCCACACAAGCCTTTATGAAATTCGAGTCACCTCGATCGAGGCATGCCTATGGCATTGTCCTCTTTCGAAGCTCCAAAGCCGTGTCTTTGATCTTCTGCACCTCACAGCTGAGCTGTACGAACATGACAAGTAGACGAACTGAAACGCTGCAAAAATATGCGTGTCAGCGGCATCAGCATCTTTCTTTGCGATCTCCTGCGGACAGCACGGTGTTTTTCGGGCGATTCCCGTCCGATCATGTGCAAGGTCCCCGGTCTCCCAGCAACATCTGCCTCCTCGCTTGGCTTCACTTCAGCAACCCACATGTGTCGCCATTGCTCGAGGTTTTCCCCCATTTGAGTGTAGACCTTACGCAGTGGCAAAGACGATCCCAGGCACCACAGGCCCGCAACCACAGCTGGGGGCAAGGCTGAATGGAGGCTAGGGAACACTTTCACTGTGTTCAAGACCTCGGGACACCATCGCGGAGGGTCAAAGTAAAGCCAGTCGCAGCACAACCATGGACATGAGAGCCAAATCCGGCACTCACAGGGGCCCGGATGTGGCTTTGCGACCCAGCTGCAAATGGGGCGACCATGAAGTTGATGAAGCCTTGGCAAGCAGAATGCAGTCAGGCGTGTGCCTTCAGCTCACCCTTGGCACAGCTCTTTCATTGCACAGTGCAGCAAAGCAACCATGTTGAGAGCCAGGACGATTTATCTTGTCCCTATCATTCAGCATTCCTGGCGGGTGTTGCAAGAACAGATCTGCCTCTGACAGGCTTAGGACAGCATGCAGGACGACCGGCCTACAGGCAAGCCAAGCTCCTTTTCAGTGTCGCCCTGGTGTCGGCTTGCGACTGGTGTGTTTGCGGTCTATGCAGGCCACTGGTATAACCACAAGCAGTACTTGTCTGCTGACCATGCCCGGCGCCTGGTTGAAGAACTCTTCCAGAACGCGCCATGCCCAGGCATGGCACATCTTGAAGGGCTTGAGGGGATTTGACCTCACGGCTCTCTGGTTCTAGGCAAACTAAGCCTCTTGCAGACCCGTCGTTCTGAGCCACTGGACACATCTGCAAAGTGTAGGAACACCTCCATGAAGAACATGGAGTTCTTCGACAGCACCTCCATTTCATGGTGAAACCATCTTACAGCTGAGAGCTTCCGCGCCGGTTTGTTCGCTGCAAGCATTGGCAAAAAATCGCGAAAAGTTTATGGCCAGACGCTTTATCGCAAATTCAGCGCCGCAAATACTGCCACGTTGATCGTCTGCTGCAGGCCTGTTCCACATAATTCATGTCCAAATCGTCAAGCTGTGCCGCCTGCAGTTGGCAGCATGACGGGTTCTTTCATTGTTTGCGCAAGAGAGTTGCGAAATCAGCGTGGCCTGTCCGTCGCACAAGTCCGAGGTGAGCTCATATATCTTGCTCACTTCCCTGTTGGCGACTGCTTTGGCAGACAACCCATACGGAAAAAAATTCCACACTATCATTTGGCTACCATGCAAAAGCACGCCTCACCATCTCGAAATGCTCAGCCTGAGCATGCGGGTCCCACACAAACACAAGCAGGCATGCAACCAAGTACACAAGTATGCGTGTGTGTACACATATATATATATATACATACGCCTGATATACATACATACCTACCTACCTACCTACCTACCTACCTACCTACTTACCTACCTACCTACCTACCTACCTACCTACATACATACATACATACATAAATAAATACGTACATGTGTCTGCGTACATATATATATATATATACAGGTATGTATGTGTGTATGTATGTATGTAGGTAGGCAGGCAGGCAGGTAGGCAGGTCCTTAGGTAGGTAGGTAGGTAGGTAGGTAGGTAGGTAGGTAGGTTGGTAGGTAGGTAGGTAGGTGGGTAGGTAGGTAGGTAGGTAGGTAGGTTGGTTGGTTGGTTGGTTGGTTGGTAGGCAGGTAGGTAAGTAGGTAGGTAGGTAGGCATGTATGTGTGTATGCATGCATGCATGCATGCATGCATGCAGTATGTATGTATGTATGTATGTATGGATGGATGTATGTATGTATGCATGCATGCATGCATGCATGCATGCATGACCGCAGGTGCTGCAATGAAACCTTAAGGAGTACATGATAATTGTTTCTAGACTGCAGCTTGACGGCCAAGTTACATACCTGGTTCCCGTGTACTTCTAAGGCTCGTGGCTTGGAGAGCCGGGGGGGGTTCAGCACTTCGGGTTTGCTAGTGGCCGGCCTTCACCGGCTACGTTTCCCAGGGCTTCCCGGTGGGATGGCTTGCAATTTCGGGTTTGCAGCGTGCAAGGGTTGGAAACCTACAACAAAAGGCAGAAAAAATATGCGCACACACACACACACACACAAGAGCCATGCCGGAATCCTTCGCCGTGAGTCCGAAGAGGCAAACCATAAAACCCTGAGCCAAAGCGGAATTCCATCGAAGCAGAAACAGCAGTTGTTGTAGCAGTAGCAGTACAGGCATCAGAAGCAGCAGCAGCAGCAGCAGCAGACGCAGTAGCGGCACTAGCAGTGGGAAGGATCTGACGAGGAGGAGGCGAAAGAAGAGGAGGAGGAGGAAGGAACAACACTGACGATGATGAACAACACGACTAGAAACCACCACAAAAGCGAAAACCACCAGTCTAAACCCTAATCCCTAAACCCAAAACCCAAAAAACCACCAGAAAAAAAATCCCTGGCAAAGGGCCAGCATGAGCAGTGTCGACTCCCAGCGCTCTGCAGCCTGCGGTTTAGGGGAGTCTCGTCAAGGACACGGTCAGGGAGCTCTTTGGGCTCGGTTTGGGCTTTAGGGGTTTTAGGGTTTTAGGGGCTTACAGGGGTTTAGGGGTTTTAGGGCTTTAGGGGCTTATAGGGGTTTAGGGTTTATGGGTT